ATTGGCATTTAATGTCACCTCGTTTAGATAGCTTTTGCATACGTTATCAATTTTATTCTAAGATTGTACTATTATGGAATGGCGTTTTAATTCATAGGCTTTGGTCGTTAACCTGTTTCAGGGTTAAACGATACAATGGATTACAAAGCGATTCAATCTAGCTGACAAAGCTTGAATATGAAATTATCAAATAGTTTTTATGGCACACGAAAACTGTTAAAAAACGATAAGTGTGGTTATAGAGGTCAGAGAGGAAGTTACTGGGGATTTTTGTATTCAGAATAATGGTATAATGAATTTAAGGTGACTTCATTTATTGCATTGATCTACTTTCAAAAAAAATTGTCAAACAGAACTTCAGCTTTTGTGATTATACTGCTTAACTGCTTGAAACATCATATTTACTTAGGCAGTAGTTTTCAATATTTTACAATAGCATTTCTTATAAATGCCATTTATCTATTCTTGAACAAAAGAAATTCGCATGTGTTTCTGAATATCTCAAATTTCATACACATTTAAGACATGATTATAAACTATATCCGCCATAAGCCATCCGGCCGCCTCCAAGGCAACTTCACCTCGCTCAAAGAGATTTATTTACCCATCCGTTTTAGGAACAATGAGGCGTCCGTGCCGTTTTGTTTGATGTTCCTGTTTAACCCTGTTTCAGGAGACTTCTAAGGTTATAGTATAGTCATACATTCAGAACCCAGTTATTTCTTGGTCTTCCTTTCATAAATATAATATAATGTATGCGCTTGTATTTATAGTTCTATGTCGTGTTAAAGTGCTTTGCGCATAATTAGCGGATGAGCATCGTCCTTCAGAACGGCGATTGCAATTCTTCTCTGACAACGTCAGCATTTGCAACGTCATGATAGTAATGCATTTATTATTAATGGATGATTTTAAATATTTAGTTGAAACTGATCAGTGTTCAATATGTAACCAGCAATTGTGAAATGCCACATATTTCTTTGGTCTTCTTCGTGAATTAGTGGTTAGAGCTATGGCATTTCAATCAGAAGCTCCAAATTAATAATAAATACATCACATAAATTTTGGACAATCTTTTGGATTGCCTTCTGGAAACCAACGTAGTTCAGTAAAATCTTCGCATCACATTATATAGTTCCTATATTTAAAGAAGTATCATTAGTTGATTGAAGAGAAATCAGCACAAAAATCCTTCTAAAATGATATTTTTCTAGGGGGAAACTCAAACGCTTGACCCATCTCTATATATTGAGTTTATTATTAGAATTTTTGCAATACTGATGATTTTTTTTAGCATAAGGGCTAATTTTACTTGAAATCCTATTTAATTTAAACACGAATCACGGTTTACGAGATCTAACAAAGTAATGTGATCAAAAAAAGGGAAGAAAAAATATTTGCTCAAAAATTCTTATTCTTGCATGCAATTATTATAATTTTTTGCATTGTAATATAATATATTGATGTTACAATTTTCAACGTTTTGCTATCATCAGGCTACAATTCTTCAAATTTTTTGTATGAAACTAATTAATTTTCAACACTATTTCATTAACTCACACTAAAGTAGGTACAAACATGTATCTCAATATAATAAATTTACTTATAAAATACACATTACATAAAAATCTTTGTTCAAACGTTCTCTGATCTTTGTTCTCGTCTTATTTGTTTTTTTTTAATCATTCGGATTTTATGGTCTAGGAATATTTATTTTCCAATGACGTTAATTTTTCGTCTGTCCGAAATTCGACCTTGTCTGCTAATTACAAAATCCCAGCAAATTGCCGGGACGCTTCTTGTTAATTGAGAAAAATTGAATTACGTGCAGACTCTCTGTACTGTTTGCATATTTACATATTTGCACTTGCTTTATGCAGAATATGCATGGCTAAAATATTTATCTATATCATATTTTAATGAAAAAAAATTCCAGTGTTTGCACGGGTAATATTTTTCTGTTTTCGATGTAACGTACTTAATCTACTCATCAAACACATAAGAAACTGTTTAATAAAATTGCGGTATTTATCAAATGCAAATTTTTACTTGTTAAGTTGGAAATGAATATAAATACTTACTTGTTCTATGTAAAATTCTCTTTGTAATTATACCCGTGTATAATTTTAGATGTTTTCTTTTCATGTAAACAGATAGGAAAGCAATTAACGACTACAGTAATTATGATAATGTTTTCACTCATTATAGCTATTAATACATAATAAAAACCTAGCTTGTTTGAAAAATATGTAAGAAAATCAACATAAAAAATAATTATTTTATTATATGAATTTTGAAAACAATAAATGCAATCGAATAGATTTGAAATCTAACTAGTGGCGCAGAGCATCGTGTCTTAAGGCAAATTTTATTGGTACTTTTAAAAAAATTTCAGCTTTAAATTTTTTTTTGAGAATTTTGAATGTTTTTGGGCGTTTTTAAAAATTATGAAATCATTTCACCAAATGACATTTTTTTAAAACTTGTTTTCCTGGTTTTCCGAAACCGCTGGACCTGCTTTTGCAAAAATTTAATCTTAATTCTTAGTTATGTAAATAAAAGTGAAATGTTTTTTGAGTTATTCAAATCGGATGCTCCGTTCTCTCTAAATCATAATTGCCATTTTCTGCACTCTGTGTGTTCAAAAGTGTTGTACCAACTTTTGCCATAAATTGTACGTTTCCTTACCACTAGTAAGCAATTACTTTTTGAATAATTCGAATCGGTTGAAAACGTGGACTAAAAGTTGTATTCATACGTACAAACACATCCATTTTTTCTGAGATATGCCAAAATATTCAGAAACCTTTGAAACGTAGAGATATGCAAAATAAATATTTTTGGTTTTTAAACTATAACCAACTTTAGACTTTTATTACTATAACCAACTCTACGGGTTCCAAGAGCCATTGAATTTGTATCAGTACAAATGAAAATATTGTTCAAATAACATTTTTATTGATTTCACAACAACTTGTTTGTTATCTAGAATTTAAAAACAATTGACTTTACACGGTTCTTTCAAAATGTGCATTCAAAGCATTGATTTCGATCATCTATTTTTCCAATTCACGGTTTGTTTTCAAACAATGCATTTCACTAACAAATACATATTATTTGTACAAGCTTGACGTAACCGACGTCATATCTGTATAATTGATTCACATAATCTGGAAATATACAATGACCAAAATAATTATATTTTACAATACAAAACGGCGCCGGCCAGTTTTGTTCTTTGCACAAAACAGTACCTGCGTCAGAGACGAATATGTTATTTGCATATTAAAGACATTTGGAGTTTGTCCTGTCGGTTATAAAACACTCGACATGATTAGCAATATTTTTGCTTGACAATAGATTATAAAATGCATAACAACGACCAGTCTGAAAGATATTTTTATATTTATTTTACCTTGTCGTTTCATTCCTTGCATAAAACATTATGAAAATGTAGGTGAGGAGGTTACGAATGTTGAAAAGATAATTATGTGCTTTAAGTAGCTTGCTAATTAGGTCACTTACCAAATGACACTAAGACTGGTTTAAATTTAATTTTTTTATTACGTTCATGTAGAATAATTTAAATTGTTCTTTACGCTTTTGTCAACACCGTCATACACATAAAAACTTAATTTAAATTTCACACGTCTTCAGCGTTATTGTGTCTATTATTATTTTTATTGATTCAGAAAGTTTAACAGCTGCTTTCCCATCATTGCTATGTAGAAACTTTTAATTGAATGTTTTTAGTGTTGAACGAAAATATACTATCGGCTGTAAAGTAACTCGTTAGCAGTTATCCAATAATTAAAATAGAGAGAAAATAGATTGCCAGGAAGAGCAGAACATTGTTCTCTCTTATCCTTATCAATATTTAAATGTAGGATAGTGTATTACGTTGTTCCCATTGTAATAATTCGATAAGTTGATTGACACCAGCATCCATCTAATACGTCTTATCAAAATATGACCTGTCATTTAACAAGTTCGGATGTTGAATCTGCTTTGACGTCATTCAAAAATCAGTGAATTTCCATAGTGTCAAGAAACAAGCAAATAATTTAAAATATGCCGTTTTTGTATATATTTGGATCCAATAGGTCGATGGAGTGACAAGCTGATTTATGATCGTGTTGCAATAAATATGTAATATTTTTGTAGAGTTATTTAGATTTTGTGATTACATTGATAGGGCTATCAATCTGGTATGTATTTGATATCAATGCGTAGGTCAATTACACATGATCTGTAAACAGGCTTCTATGATTTTAACCATCCTTTTATTTATTTCTTATTTCACCATAAAATTTACAACTGTTTCTAGTAGACACTTAGAAAATATGAAGAATAAATAAATAAATAAAAAGTAAACGAGCACAGTATCACTTCTACTTTAAATAATAAATACAATTGAGTAAGGGGGTGTTCATTAACTACGTGAGTGATTTTTAGGGATTTGATTTAACCAAATTCAGGGAACAAGTTATTTAAATCCACATTTAACTAATTCTAATTATTTGAACAAAAAGATATTAAGTGAGTTCTCGCAGGGTAAGTTATAGTAATTGCAAAAAAAATAAAATGAAAATTTTTATATATCTTCACGTATCTGAACATTTTGCCATATGATGCCATGCACCACTAGTTTAAATCCTCTTAATTAAATAGCTTATACATAAAAGAGAAAATTATTATAAAGTTTTTAACTTTCATATCAATATTTTTCACAAAACAAATGAACATATTGTTTGTTTAAATAAAAATGACAATATATAGTATTATAAACTATATTTACTACTGTCGCATTATCTCATTAATTAATAAATACTAATTACCCAAAGTAATTCCAATTACTCACTAATTGTATTCATTCTATACTTGACTTCGGTACGTATTAGTAAATTTCATAACTCCTTCATTCACCATTTTAATCCTAATACCATTGTCAATTTTATAAGTATTAATCAAATATACTAAACCACTTTTCCTTTTTCCAGGGGACGGTTCAAAGCAAGTTCGTGTCGGACAACTCTGCACCCCAGTGGGCACCCTGCACATAAGTGTAGCTTACCGTACCAAGATGACCATCTCCCCAACAGCTTCTGGTGGTGTCGCGGTTGCCGGTGGTGCTGGACCTGTTACCGGAAACGGAACGAGTGGTAATAATACCAGAGACAACTTATTGATGTTGAAAAGCGATCATTTCCGGAGAGATGCCAGCCCGAAGAGGCAGAACACCAGGCTCGGCAGAGTTGTGTAAGGATAAAATATTTAAACAATTATATTTTGGGTTAATTTAATTTATTTGTGCTTGGTCTCAAAGTTCTTTTCATGATGAATACTCATATGAAAAATAATTTAAAGCAGTGAATCATATTTTTTCGAATAATAGAGGTCACAGCAAATTATTCTTAGTAGTTCATTCTCTAATCTATTTAACAATTACTATATATAAACACATACAGGATACAGGACAGATGCAAAAAGAATATTTTTTAATTTTTTTATTGTTCTACCATTTCAGAAATGAAAAAAAAGTCATTGATCTGAATAAACCGATGCGACCAGGAGCTTTTGTTGATGTGTCCAGAGTAAAGAAATATACTGAACAAGACTATTTATTACCTGAAGAACCTGCTTTTAGTTGGTTGCTTACCAAAAAGGTACAATATTTTGATGCACTTTTATTTATTTATTGCAAAACAATATTTAATAGATAAATTATAATAAACGAATCTTATTTTTCATAGGATGAAGTAAATAACAAAAAGAATAAGTCACCAGACACAAATGGTGACTATGTTATAAATGATATGTCTGATGATAATTTAGAGTGCCAAATTGATGCAAATTGTTGCAATAATAATAATGATCCATGTAACCACAATCACAATCAGAATGATGATGCTAATCATGATGATAAGGATAAATCTGATGATGATAGCATGGAACGAACACTTTCTGCAGAGTGAGTATTAATATTACCAAAAATAGTTGACTTCTTTCAATTGTGATTACTGAATTTTATGTTTTCTGCTTAGGAGTATGACAAACTGGAATAGAACCAGTAAAGATAGTGATGACAATGAAGGAAGTCCAAGAACTCAGGAGAAACGAAAATCAAGGTGGACATTACCTGTTGAAGATGAAAAATTAATGAAAGAACTTGTAAGTGTTACAGTAATATTTTTTGCAATTATTGTTTCAATTACATTATTTAATTATGAATTATCTTTTTCTCAGCATTTTCCATTTGCCACAACAAGTTCTCCAATTGGCGACCTGGCCAGGTTCTATCGTGAATGCTATCATGCTCCACCACTTCAAACATTTGATGCACCTGAAATGAAACCCATTGATGCGATAGGTGATGTCACCGAACAGTTACAGCAGTTTGAAGTCTCATTAGGTGAATTTGATTCAATGGTCAGCTCATTATGCCAATCGGGAAATAACAATAGTTCTTAATTATTTGACTGGTTATTGATAGATATAATTATCTCTGGAATATGTGATGTGTGCACTTAAATTAAGTGTCATGTGTTGAGTCAGTTTTTATATGATAAAAAATGAATGCTGTTGCAATAAACCACGTTTTTAAAATGTGGATGATTTATTATCAAATTTATTGCAATTTTTATATAGATTAATATTATATATGCAAACTTGAGTCAGATATTTATCAAAACATTATGAACACATATTTGCAGTCAAGAGTAATAAATATTAGCAAGAATGGTAATGAATTTTAAAATTTTGGGTCTAAGTTTTGAGTTTTGGGTCACTTCTGCAAAGTTTTTCATACAGTTTTCAGTTTGATTATGCAATTACACTAACTTTTAAATGAGTTATCTTGTTGATTCCATTTTAAAATTGACTGCATATTATGTGATGTATGTTTGTCATTACTTATATATGAATATTTACGTTTAAGATGTCTGATTACTAAGGTATGGATACAAAAGTGATTGTATTTATGATTGTGATTGTGTGCTTTAAAAACTAGTTTCGATTAATTTGATTTGAAGCAATGGTGTGTGATTCGATGAAGTGCCATTAAATGCAGGAATGCTTGATTCATATTAGATTTTTATATAATTGTTGCGTTCAAATTATTTTCTATATTTAATTTAAAATAGATAATATAGATAAATAACATTATTCAAAAATCATTTATTATATTCTATAGATTTACATATTTTTATATATAATAAACAAAACTTTAAAAACATATAAAATAAATAAAGTTATATCTGAATAGTAATTTTAACGATTGCTTTTACTTATTAGAATGTGAAATTTTACACAGAATTTATATATAGAATCATAAATATTATATTTATATATTCTGTTATTTATCTATATCATCATATGTTCCATATTTATTTTGACTATTGCTTTAAAATGCATATATTGATAAATTAATTTATTTTAGTTTAAAAAATAACATTTTTTTATAAGTTATTTATTTTCTCTTTTTGTTTTGATTTTTTTTTCATTTTGGTATATTGAGAGAAAGCGAGAGCGAAGTATTTGTATGATGATTATACACCTGTTTTATGTGTATGCAGGTATTGTTATTTATAATCAATATATTGCTAGACTGAATTGTTGCCTAATATGTTTTGTAGTTTTAATAGAGAATTATATTATTGTCAAATATAGTTAAGTATTATGTTAAATTGTAAATAATTGCTTATACATCTATCTCAAAGAGCTTACATTTCAAAGTTTCATATATTTACTTCAAAACAAATTGTAAATTTGCTCAATAATAACAGATCTATTAAAATTTCCCATTAATGATTTTATATGAGATGCTAGAATTTTATAACATGTAGAATTTTATATAACGGTTAAAAAAAACTTGCTTCTTTGGTGCAAAATGTAAAAGCATTTGGTAATTTTATTACTTTTTATATAAAAATGAAAATGTTATAAAATTGATAAATATATTTTTTGCGATTTATGTGTGCGCGTAAATTGTAAGCCGGGATTATAAATAATATTTTGCATAGTTCTTATTTCTCGGTAGGCATTAGAAATGTATAATGGTAATTAAGTTTAAATTAATTTATTTTTAACAGTTCAGTCTCACTTTTGCATAAGTCATAGGCCGGCAGTTCATGAAATAATAACAGTGACATAATTTGTATAATTCATTTATTTTAAGATGATAGAATTATATTTGTTTAACATATCTATAATTTTATCAAAAGAATATGGTGAATGAATATGTTGTTAGCAGAGAATATGAAATTTATAAAGAAGTTGCTTAAAGGAAATTTAATTGAAGTGATTTTAGGTAAGATGCTTATTTTTTATAGTATGTTTGTAATTTAATTATTCAAATATTTCAACAAATTCTATGAAATGTATGTATTTCATATAAATGATGATATTTATTCTATTGTTAAAATAGAGACTATTATTATGATACTCAAGGTATATCATTTTATATTTTGTGCTAACAATATTACAAGATGCAAAAATGGTTCTATTTTGTTAGAAGACTGATCAGTAATATAAATTTTAGACAAATAGTATTCAACTAAAATCAAATGATTTTTTGTCTTTTAAAAAAATTCAATTATGAGACTTCAAGAGTTTGTTGAATGCAATTACTATATAAATTTAATAATTATATTATAGCAGTAAAATATTACGATTTAATACAACCAATAATAGATACATGTTTGTTTAATTGTATTAATAGTAGTATGACACAAATTTTACATGATACCAAATATATTTAATTCTTTAAACAGCAGATGTATATAAGAGATGCCAGATATCCTTTTTAGGTACTTTATCATAGGAATATTTCACAAGGAAGATCAGCGAATTTTATTATAAATTATGAATTTGTATTGCATCAAGATTACAGAGAACAAGATCACTAGATTGGCTGAAAAAGTTTGAATAAATCAAGTGTGAATTTACAGTTGAAGTTATCTAACCCAACATGGAACTATTGAGGTGAGTCCATATTTTAATCTGAGCCTATATTACTGAAAGAATAGTATTTATCATTTATGATAAATGACATGTTTAATTCAATTATTCCATCATTACTCACACAAACACCAAAGAATTTAAATAAAATAAACTATTGTATTGACATTTATTTCTTAGTTACTACACAAATATTTGCAATTTATTAATTTATTCATAAGACGCTGGTGGATAGTAGTGGAAGTCGAACCCTGTTGCTTTCATCTGAAATAATTTAATTTTTATAATACAGTACAGATAAACAATACTAATTTATAACCATTATCTTACAAAAATGAGAGTTCCAGTAAAGACACCAACGCCAGCAAGAAGGGTTGCATTATATTTCCTTTGGCGGGCATCGTGTTTAGCTTGCCAGGATCCTTGTGGAGTTGGTAGCTCATTCATGGATGGAGGAACATAATCTGCTGGAGGTCCATGATGACCGTAGGAGCTGTTTCTACATTGTCCACGAACAGCATCTAAGGTAGGAAAATGTTAAAGTATACTCGTCAAGATATTGTAAATGAAACAAGAACTTCTGGGCACGATATGTAGTAATCTCGATATTAAATAGATAAATTGTAATAATCAGAAATTTATGAACTTATAGTCTTTATGCACAAATTACGTAACCTATATGATAATATATAATAAATGACTTACTCATGCGATTCACGGTGCTTCTAACAAATGGGCGCAATGAAGACATTATGTAGAATAATTTTATGCTTAATTATTAAAAACAATAAGGATCTACTTGATAAAAGATCCCAACAAAGTGGTCAAAGTATTTGCAAATGGTCTCTATATGTCAATTTAGTTTGATGAGTATGTTGGTAGACATGACCGAAGTGAAGTTAGTTGCAAAATACAAAACGAAAATTATTTATATAAAACATTTCAAAACAAGCAAGTATTATTATATTATTATATTGTAGAGGATAGCAAGTACAATTGAATCTGGCTAATTTCTAGTTTTCTATTTTTTTAACTTAAATATCATTAAACATCTCAAAGTTTTGTACAGTTTTGTAAGTTGGGCATAATTATCAACTGTCATAATGGCCACAAGTGTCATCTGTCAGTGGCATAAAGCCTACTAGATATATAAGTAAATGAAGTAAATGTTCTTCAACAGTTCTTTAACAAGTTGTTTGAAACATTTTAAACAGGTAATTGTATTGTCTAAATATTGTGTAAATGAAAATTTTCTTTGATGCTTGAATATACATAGTTAATAGTTATTTCATGTCAACATCTTAATATTATTTTGTTTGATATTAGAATAAAATGTACTTACATTTTATTTATAAGCAAGCCATAATCAATAAATTTATAATTTTTTATTTAATCATTTCAGACTGTTGTCAAGAAAATGCATCCAATAACTTTGTCCGATATGGAGTGTAGCTGATACATTATAATATCCATATACCGCTAGAAGAACTTTCTGAACTCATTTGGCCAGAAATATACAGCTCTACAATGGCTTTACATATAAAAACCATCTTTCCTTAAAGACGCTGTTATATTTATAGACTATATGAGAATTAAATGGAAAATGCTGTGCTAGTTAACAAGATAAATTCATGGGTAAGTAAAAGACAATTTAGACCTTTGAATTCAATTAAATTTTGACTAGGTTTTCGGACAATGGCTTATAGTGTTATGAATTTTATATTATCGAACATACAAGATTAGATCTCTCAGTAACATAGCATCTTGATCTCAACTCAGTTTGGTCATATAAATTGGTGAGATTTTCAAATGCAACAATTTGGCTACTTGCACTATTACAATAACCTTTTGCTTTCATTACTTTTGGTTTATTGATGATTTCTATTGCTTTTGAGGAGGAGCAGTTTGTGATCGAGTAGCTTATTGCAAGACTGTTTCCTCATCTATTGTTGACTGTATATATCCAGTAGGATTTGTTTTTGCTTCTTCAAGAACATACGGTAGTCTTTGTGTCATGAGGAAAAAGAACTCTTACTTATTCTTGTAAAATTGGTGATGGCAGCAATTCACCTATCTATAATAAAATAGCATTCATGATTGTGGGAACAAACTTATGATTTGGTCAATATTAAATTCAAAATGTCTACATAATATATATAAATTGTAGGAAGCACATCAAACTTCTATCATGGAATTCTGTTGTTGCAAGCTTTTAGAGAATGGTGCTGGCTTCTTCAGATTATCGAATCCTACAGTGTTATTAAACATAATATAAAGAAGAATACAAGTTTGCCAAAATGCCACAATTACAAATGGAGCAAATTTGAAGTGAGTTTCAATAGACAAAGTGTTCAATTCATTGAATAATAGCTGACATATTATATATAAACAAGTTGACTTCAGTAAATACCAGTTATAGATAAATAACTGGTGCATATAATTTTGTCATTATAAAAACATATTTTAATGATGTGAATATTATTTGCAGTTAACTGCTTTTGGACACTACCATTGAAAACAGTGATCTGATACTTGGTTTTGAAGCCATTCAATCAGCAATTGTTAATCTAATTAATAAAATTTACCCTACGGGTAATTGATCATGATACTGTACCAGAAATTATAGTAGAGTATCCAGGTGATGAATTATTAGATCAATGTATGACTAGTTGAATATACTCATAACATCAGAGCTGAATTAGCTGAATCTTTAATGGGTTTACTATCTTATGCATGTACTACCAGTCATATTGTCATGTCAATATAATATTTGTTCATATCAAATAATTTATATACACCTCTGATATAGAAATGAATCATATATGGAGTCTTATTTCATATAAATTTCTCAAATTAATAAGTTTTAAATTTATTTTAGCCCATAGGCTGCTGTATTACTATTATAAATATCATTTTTACAGCAGTTTGTATCCTTTTTTAAGTACATTCGGCCAAATATCTGTTACGTAGCCAGAGTGCTTCATTGTAATTGAAGTTATAGTGACCTGAAACAAAAACCAATGGTAAAATATGATCATAAATGAATGTTCATAGACAGTACGGAGAGTATTTGCTTCATTGAAAGAGTAGTTATGCATCTGACACAAAAATTAATGTGAAATCTGATCTCAAGTGAATAATATTTATTACTTCAATTGTGATATAAATAGGATATTATCTTTGAACGACAATATTATTCTATTGTAAAGTATGGACTTAGACAGAACAATAGACATTTTCGGTAGATAGGGAAATTGGAAAAGTGTTTATCATCTTTTGCTGGCGCATGTTGAAGTCCCATGTAATTGATATTAGGGGTACGGCTGTGGATGATCTGCTAGACTAACTATTTGAACATAATCTGTAATATATATATATATATATATATATATATATATATATATATATATATATATATATATATATGAGTAAGTTCTTTACGGGCATACATCAAATAAAAGGCAAAGATTTAGAAGTTAATCTTTAATTTTTCCAAACGTTTCGACATAGGATTTTATGTCATCACAAGTGGATCTACAGAATGAACATTGAAAAATTAATATAAACTAGGAAAAAATGACAGAAATTGGAAAAAGAACTATAGATATATATAGTTCTTTATCCAATATCTATCTTTCTTTTATATTTATAGTTCTTTTACAATTTCTGTCATTTTTTCCAAGTTTGTATTGATTTTTCAATGTTCATTCTGTAGATCCACTGATGATGACAGTAGACATATTATCGTACACATACATACAATTATTAATCACAAAATGTGACTATGAAATCTAACAGTAAGATCTTGTGAAGTCTTTGGATTATCGCCTATATTTATATAAAATTTTGGTGAAGATCTGCCGGGCCGTTCCTTCGTAATTAATTTTTTTTGACGATTTTGATGAAACTTTGTATGACATTAGATAATTGTAGTCTGAGATAACCTACTGAAATATTATAGGCCTATGATAAGCGGTTGAATTATAAATATTTATCAAAGTTTAGAATTTCGCCATGTAGTATGTGTACGTCCTGTGGTTTTTCATAGGTAGCTACTGATTGCAGTCGACGCCCACTTAATAAAATACATTTTTAGAATATGAAATGGAAGAAATGAAATTTTGTGAATATATTAATTTAATTCATACAGTTACAGATATTATAAGTATGTTTGAAAGACATGGATTAGAAATGGCATTGATTAATTTTTAGTGAAAGCGAAAACTTTATTTTTGAAAACCGTGAAACTTTTTACGTAAATAGCTGAATTTCAATTCTTATTGATTAATTTGATTATGTATACGTATCAGGAAGTTAATACAACTCGCCTTAAGGCAAAATGCTACTTACAACTAGTCTATAATAAACTTATAACATTAACATATGAAATTTACTCATATCTAAATCGAAAAAAATAGTAAGTGACCACCCTCATATTGGGAGTAGTGTTTTAATAATTTAATTATTATATTTAGTTATCATTTATCCAAATGCGTCCCTGCCGAAGATTTTTCGTAACAGAATACAATGGCACAAGAGGAAATTATCTCGCGTCTGCTCTGGCGCACTGTTCATATCGGAGTGCGTGAAAATGTGCAGCCGTTCACTCAACCTGTGGCTGTGGAAGACTACTCGACGTATACCTTCGACCTTGTCATTGGGTTTACCTTTACCTTAATGGGAGGACAAAAGACAAAAATATATCACTTCTCGTACATCACCAAATTTTGGACCCCGCTCCTCAGGCCGTGATTAATCTATATCGCGAGAGTGAAAGGGAACAAATTAATATCCAGCGCCCTTAGTATTCCATCCGCTAGAGAGAGAACGACTGATCAATATCGGAAGGAACATTTTCGGTCGTACATCCTGGATATCGCACGAAAGGTAAAACAAAGGTAAACGAATAGAAGCGTATTGGAATATATTTATATAAATATATTCTAATATATACTATTTTATTGTTTACCATTCTTGATTGGGATTAAATTTTTAACTTTCCATAGGGCAAGCTATAGCAATAGCAAAACATAGAAAATGAAAGTTTGCTTATATTTACGTTTCAAAGGTTTTTGAACCTTTTGGAACGTTTAAAAAAATAATATATATATATATATATATATATATCATTATATGAATCACTCAAATCGGTTAAATCGTGCTCTCGAAATCGTCGCCGAAAAATTATATCCGTACATACATACATAGAGAAAGGATCATGGATTTCATGCGAGAAGAAATAGAAAGGACTCCAAGTACAAAGTGGTAAATTATTGGGAGTGATGGAAAGATTATTGGGAGCAATGGAAATGACTAAAGAAATTCGAAAACTACATTCTCGAGGCCGAGAATGTTCCTTTCTCCATGTATGTATGTACGGATATAATTTTTCGCCGACGATTTCGAGAGCACGATTTAACCGATTTGAGTGATTCATAATACATTCGATTCCTATTGATGAGAACACGTGTTGATTATTTTTTTGTAAAGGCAAGTTCGAAGATACGGGGTAAATAATGCAAATAATGGCTATTCAATTTTTGAGCGAACGGAGCATCCGATTAAAATGATTCAAAAAAAACATTTTACTTATATTGACAGAATGAGTAAACAGTTAAATTTTTGTGAAGGCAGGTTTCGAAAATTCATTTTCTTTTAAAAAAAAGCTATTATTTTATAGGGATTAAGTACGGTTGCTCTTGTAAATTTTCAAAAAAATAAATAATTACAAGAAAATTTAATCTATTTTTTTTTTAAAAAAAATTATAAGTTTAGGCTCGATACCATGCACCACTAGTTTTATTATCGTTTTAACTTACACTGTATGTGCAAATTAGTACTGATTTCAGATGCCTTTAGTAATTTT